AGAGAGGTGGATAGATTTGAAAGGTATCTCTGGTAGCAGAAGGAGAAAAGGAGAGGGAGGAGTTTGAGGATAGTAAGACCAGTTAGGAGGCAAGAGATGATGAAGTTGTGACCTAAGTAAGGCCCCTGGGTGACACGAGAGCATGGAGCAGGGCTCCTCAACCAAGGGGCAGCAAGAATCCTCTGGGAAGCTTAGAAAGAATATGTTATGCGGGTCCTACTCAAGCCCTCTGGTATCTCCCACAAAGCATTCTGGATGCGTTCTCTTCTGCAGCTCGTTTCCTGTGTGCTGTCGATCAGAGCCTCCAAGTCCGCTGTACAGACAGCTCATTATGGGACATAACAAAAGATACAACCATTTGTATAGAACTTTCTCTTCACTTCCACAATAAATTTAGTTGCATAGCTATATGGGAGTCTACCTGCACCAAATAATTTCATCTATTCTCAGACGAGTCTAGCCAGTAAATTTGTGCGCAGAGAACAATCTTAATGTTTCAGCATCAGATTCACAGGGGTGATTTGGGTCACTTGTAAAGTGCAGGCCAAAGTGTTTGTCAAAAGGTGTAATCATAGTGGATCCCATTTACAGAAGATGTGTGTCAACTTGTGTGGTAACTTCCTGGTGGTTTGGCATGTACTGTGTATCATTTGTATGTAGTTTTCTTCCCTTTAGAAATTTTTTTTCAAATTATTTTACTGTGTGTGATGTCACAAAGGAGACTTGCAAGGTTTGCAGAGAATTAAATGAGGATATACATGAGTTTCTTCTTTTACTCTCTGACTAACTAGACATTATTGGGTTTCATAATGATGTTCGAGTTCAAATGTAATGAAATACCTTCTTCAAAAATAGTTTTTCTGCACTTTTAATAAAATAAAATAACTCTTATGTTAAGATCGATTTATGTATCATACATAAAGAAATATGTCTTTAAGCCTTCTGTCCTTATATCCAAATGGGAGACATTAGATATATTTAATGTTTCCATGAGCTATGTGATTAACAACTATAGCAAAATATGTTGGAGAAAATTATCTTCAAAGGTTTTCCATCCATGCTTTAATTAACACACAGTGGACAGAATGCAAACAATCTGTCCAGCCAGACTATTCAGAGGTCCCTCCTGTTGCTTTTGTTTTCACTACAGCTGGGAAGGGAAAAATTATATTACATATATCTCCCATCATTCTTCTGAATGATTCATTTTGATGGTGATTTAAAGAATAATTTAAAATATTGTTATGAATGTGAAACCCCATGAAGTGCATAGGAATAACTTAAAATGTAGATAACCAGGCTGTGGTCTTGCCAATTTTCTCAGTCTGTATTTCTGTAGAACATCCATTTTTCACTTGTTTTGACTTCCCTTAAAGTCATTCATTCTGAAATGGGATCAAAATCTAAGCCAATTTCATAATTCAATCTTAATGAACCATGTACTACAGAATTATGAACATATAGGAATGTTCTCTTTATGCACAATGGGTAGTGTTGCTTATACATAACAGAACCAGGGGAAAAGAATTAGGTCTAAAATAGCAACCAAAAGAAATTTCACAGAGGCCCGGTCCTAAAGGTCACAAATTTTCTTACTAGAAAACTCTCAGATCCCTCCTTAGATTCTGTTTACTTTTTGTAAGTACAGTTCGAGTCGGCAAGCGATGAGGTGATAGGTTTACAAAAAGCTTAAGACGGCAAAATCTAGGAGGAGCAAGCATGTCCGTGATGGAGGGAAACCCGTCAGCTGCGGTCATGGTCTTAAGATAACAGCGAAGCAAGAGAGAAAACACATCATATAACAGTTAAAAAGTGGAAAAACAACAACAAAAAAAAAAAAAAAAAAAAAAAAAAAAACAGGAACCCCACAGCTGTTTGGAGGCTGACCCTTGTTAAGTGCTGGAGTGAGCATTTATGCTTGTTTAAAGAGGAGGCCACCTGTCTGTCAGTTTACCTTCCCCAGTAACCCTGCTAAGTTAGGGTGAGTTGGAATGTTCAGTAAACAAGAGTTTGACACACTAATCAAAGTCCTCAAACTTCAACTTAAGTGGTGTCAAAAGACAAACTGAGACATATTAAACATTTGAAGAGTTTACCTGAGCAACTTCCAGTCGGCAGGGCAGCAACCAAATGAGAGGTGACTAGAGACGCCCCACGACAGGAGCTGGGGGAGAAGGGTTTATGCAGAAAGGGCAGAAGCAAAGCAGGGGCACTACCTCATGGGCTGTGGTGTTTGCCTGAGGCAGCAAAGGCTCCTCCTGGCTGTTGGTGACTGGTTATTCTTAGGTCTTAATTTCTAACCACATCACTTCTACAGGCTTGGGTTTACTCGTAAAGGCGACTAAGGTGTCAGAACCACCTCAGTGTAATGATCTTCTTGTCTAATTAATTTAACAGTGGGGAATATGGACTTTATCATCCCTAAGTTTTGGAGCTCCTTTTCGTTTGTTCTCTTGTGTACAATGAAGGCAGGGAGAAAATGAGAAAGGGGGCCCAAAGAAATTGAGTAACAGGCTTCCTGTGTCAGCAGCTCCTCCAGGGTTAGCTGTGTGCCGGGACCCCAGGTGCAGGTGTGATGCTCCTGACCAAACAGGCGTTGTGCAAAGTACTGTGTTCTGGCTGGGCTTACAAATTTCTAAAAAAATAATGGTCACATTAATATCCCTCAACTAGTATCTAACAATACCACCCATTTAAAAAAAAACAAGATTTGCTTTGCAATTCTGTTTTGAAGATTTTAATAAAGACCAGTTATTTGAAATCTTAGGTATATTTTTCCTGACTTATGTTATAGAGGACTGACAAACCTCTGGTTCAACCCATTCCCTTTATATGATTTGTCTTTTAAACCGATTTTGATATCAATGATTGGTTAGCCATTTAACTGCATTTTATTTGCTACATTTCTTATCTAGACTGACATTCTAACAAGGATCCCATATAGATTTTCAATTGTTCTGACCTGATTATTTGTATTCAGATGGCCACTACCCCCCAGTGCAAGGCAAATTCACATCTCTAAAGTTAACTTCAGTGTTGTGCGAGGAAGACTTATCTGGTTGTTATAAAACTTTATTGTTTACTTTTATTGTAAAATGCCTCGTATATCTTTGGTAAAGAGGCAGGATATATAAATAAAGCAAATAAAATTGCTTTATGCAGCTTTGCCTAGAATCATAGGTCTTAGAAGTTGACACATCCTCAGGAAAAACTGTCTCCTTTTGCAGGTAAGATAATTGCATTCCCACTTAAAATATAGGGTAACTAAAGCACACAGACTTTTGTGAATTTTGCTAGACCCCATAACCAGCAAACCTAGCAAAGAATTCTACCCCAGTGTTTCTTCTATTAGTTAATGCTGTCTGGTCCTATCATTCTTGCTCCAAAGAGACTGTCAACAATTCATTCAGTCAATAAACATTTATAAAGCACTGTTCAATGTCCAGTTCAATGACCAGGAACAAGAGTGTTAAAAAAGAAGCATTTCCTATAATGAGAGTGACAATTCTTGTTAGACATGTTTATTGAATATTTACTGTGTAGATGGTGGGAGGGGACCATGATCAACTCTTTATGTACATGAGTTTTTCAGCCTTACAACAACTCTGTGAATTGAGCACAGTGCTACATGTTTCTAGCCCTCGGGTTCCTGTCTGTGGAGTTCATGGCCATTTCCATCTCCATGTTTCTTCTATGCTCTTATATTCTGTGTGCCCCTGGAAAAGTCTAGAATGCCAACACTACAGTAGTGTTTCTCTCTAGGTGGTATCCACGAAGGCACTAGGCAGTGGGAGAACTTTTAAGTTCACAGTGAAATCAAAGAATTTCCCCACTTTCTAGAGGCATCAACCTCTCTGAGTTGAAAGTGAGGTATTTTAGACCATTTGCAGGCAGCAAGTAATGGAAGCCTTAACATAGCTATCTGAGTTCTTAAGTAGTTGATTCAGTGGTATTATAAGCTACATTAAATACATTTTGGTTTCTCGGAATGTTCTTGTATTGATGGGAACATCACAGCTATAATTAAATCACTGCTCTCTTAGTCATTCTTGAACCCATATCCTGCCAGTTATAAAGCCTGTCAATTCATATCTTTTGGTAATAGTTACATAGAGAAGGGCTGTTCTTCTTGGTCAGAAACTGAATTTCCCATACTTGTGGTACACCTTTCCCTGCTGACCTACTGAAATGAAAGACTACAGGAATGATTAAATCTTATTTTCTTTCCTGTAGTAGTAGAACGAGCTGGGTCAGCAAGGCCAGTCTCTGCAGAAGGCTTTGAAATACCTTTGTGATTTGATCTCCTTGCCTTTCCATCCATTTCTCTAAGTGCCCATCACTGTCATCCTCTCACACCCTGACAAGATTCCAAGGTGAGAACAGCTCAAATGAACAAGAGCATTTGTGATGCTTCCTGAGGGTGTTGCTTATTAAAAGAGTTAGGCACTGAACCCAGTCTGACTTGGGAAGTCAAGCAAGTCAGGTTAGCACATTTACACGAAGATCATTCCATATACCATTTAACCCATTCAAATACATTGCTGGCCCATTTCTTCCCAGCATAACCCTTGTGAAATGAGTATCAGCTCACAAGTAAATAATGTCAGACTTTTATTTTCAACTGTGCTAAGGATCACTTGGTTTCATTCCTTTGTTTGGGTTGTAGCTTGTTTTCACAGAATAACTAGAGAATGTTTCTGAAGTGCATTGTGGGGGTTGGGAGAGAAGGGAATAAAAATGCATTGCTTTAGGGCTGCGCATCTGTTTTAGGGACTCTGCTGGCTCTACACATTAGCTATTGTCACGACTTATGGCGTGTCCTAAAATTGCATTCTACTCAGAGATGTTCATCCCAACTCAAAATATTACAGTTGAGCAGATTTCACTGTTATGAGTGAGCCTCATATTTTCATGACTAACAAAATTTTTTTTCTGCTGTATTAGCTAGCATGTGTATGACTCCTAGCAAGTGGTAACTCATTATTTTCTTTCTCAAACAGATTGGCAATATCAAGTTGCTCAGGCCTTCCCGCAAGCAGAAGAGAAGGTGGAAGTGGACTCACATGCATTCAGCCACCGGTGGAAAAGGAGCTCAGATGCTATCAGGGCCATAGACTCGAACCGAGCAAGCATGGGCCAAGACTCCCCAGAGCCTAGAGGCTTCACAGACCTGCTGCTGGATGACGGGCAGGACAACACCACCCAGATTGAGGTGAGTAAACAATCCCAGGACCTGAAATGGATTAATGAATATATTTCTTGAAAATCCCCCAATGTCTCTCTTTCACTATATATATGCTGTCCCTTCAGCTTAGTCTAGAACTTTTGGACTTTTTTGTAAGGATCTATTTAATTCATTCATAAATAATTAATTAATATTCACTAACTCAATAATAAATAATTATAACTATGTTAAATGAATAAATAATAGTTAAGCCATTTAATCACCCATGAATTCATTTACTTATAAACCAGACAAGCATGGGCTTGGTGTGGTGATGACAGGGAGGGACATGAAGATGAACACCAACTAGCACCCATCTGCAGTTCATTGTGCAGCAGGGTCTTGACCCATAACCATATCATCCCTCTGCCATGAGATATGTACCAAAAAAGTACAGGCTGTCTGGTGGCATGAAGGAGAGCTTGGGGTTGGGGGCGGCTGTTGTCAAGGGGCCTTAGCCTAGAAGTAGGCACTGAGGCAGGGGCTTGGCTGATTGGGAGGGGTTCACCAGGTTGATAATCTGATAGTGGGAAGAATGAAGAATCCAGGCCAATGGCAGGGCATGCTGAGGAGCCTTGAGGAGTGATCAGCTGTCCTGATTTACCTGGGACTCAGGGGTTCCTGGGAGCAAGAATTTCAGTACAAAAATGGGGCAGTTGTTGGTGAACTAGGATGGTCAGTCCCTCCATGTCTGTTCTTATGGCGGCAGCCTTGAAGAGGAAGGATGATTGGAAAAGGCTTTGATGAGCAGAGAAGTTTGCTGGGGCACATTTTAGGCAGGTTTTAGTGTTGCCCAGAAGCCTCAAGGGTGGGATGACATTGCTTAAGTTTCCATTGTCCAGCATTGCAAATCATAAGTGATCTTGTTAGTACAATAGATATAGCAAAAACACTCAGATAAGAGCAGAGGCTATTTGTTTAGTTGGTCATAGTGAGTGAGTCAGCCTGCATCACCTGTCTTTGGCCGACTCAAAAGCAGACAGGGGAGTGGGAAAGTTTTTCAGGTAAAACTATAGAGGGCTTCAGGTATGCTCCGACTGGAGGTTGTTGGAAAAGCCAGGTGGTCTAATGAGAAGCAGAGCATCTCATGTGATTGATTCAGGGGGCCATATCCACACCAATTTGGGAGTGTATTGGTTCAGGGGGCTTTCTGTGGTTGGTCCTGAACTAGATGCAGGGACAGAGAACATGGGAGCTGTCGGTTATTAATCAAGTCCTGCCTATTCTAGGCTGATAGCTGCCAAGAGTGTGTCAGCTCCCTGGACTGGTTGCTGAAGAGGTTAGGGTCAGAGTTCTGTTGTCATCTGTAGTCTGGCCATTGTCCATGTATATTCTCTCAGTCTGAAGCTTTAGTTCCTATTTTCTCCCAGGTGACAGGGCTATACTTTTTAAGAACGAGGCAGCATTTTTGTTACTGCCCTGAAATACTCATTATTTAGGAAAAGAACTCAACCTCATGAAACAGAATAGCTCCATGGTTCTGCAAATAGGGTCAAGGCATCATTTGTTCCCTCATAGTGACAGGGAGTCGTCAGAAGATCAGAAGCACAGGCTGTAGGATTTCTGTGTATGTGAGAAGTCCCAGCAATTTGCAAAACTACTCTCCATCTTCTGCATTGGTATGTGACTGGTGGTTCCTGACTGCCCCCACCAGACCCCTTAACAGGCAACAAAGGATGTGCCAGGAGCTGAAATCGTAGAATATCTCTAAGAAGCTATTCTGGCTCCTGCAGAGTGCCTGCTATTTTAGCAACAATGTTGTTATAGCAACTTCGGGTAGGCAACATAATTCTTGCCTGAGCCTTTCTCTAGTTAGGGTGCAGTGTAGAGAAAGGAGAGCTGAGCAGAAGCAGAGGTGTTTACGCTCTGCTGAGCACTAGTCACCTACCGAGATAGTCACCTACCGAGATTGAAAGGGAGAAAGCAGATTCTTGGAACGCTGTGGTCTGTATGCAGAATACAGAATTTTCCTAATCACTTGTGAAATAGAAACCCCTTTGCTCAGGGATGTATTAACTCCTCAATGTACAAACTGGGTTGCTATTATAGCTATGATTTTGTTATTCAGCTAGTTTTCTACTTTAACAGAGGGAAATAACATAATGTCAGTGATTTTTGAATCGGTAAAGTGGAGAAAGGCTGGGGCAGGGAGCTAATTACTGGGTCCTTGCTGGGTTCTAAAATCTGCCTGGTGCCGTATGGATATCATCTTACTTAGTCCTACCTTATTTCAGCCTGGTGAGATTTGCACCCCAGGTTTCCTGGGTAATCTCAGTAACTTTTACATGAGGGTAATTCCAGATTTACATTTGTGTTTTTCTTAAGATCTCCCATTAGTGAGTAAAGGGGCTGGAATTCAAACCCAGGCCTGCTCAGCTCCCAGCGTTTATCCTTTTCCCTTGATTTTGCCTCCTCTACCATAAGGAGAAATGAACAGCACTCTGATTATGTAATGGCTTTGGACAGTGACAGCGCCCAAATATCATTGAGAGTAACTTCGGGATTTCCATTTGGCTGGAAGAGGATTTGTCTTTCAGCTAGATTTTGTAACAAGAGGATTGCTTATATTTTATGAGTTTATTTATTTTTATGGGGTTCTGGAAGTTGATGGAGATTATGGGACTCTAACATCCCACAAGTCACTCCTTGGCATCACAACTAGCTTTGGGAATAAAACCCTACATCTGAAACTTCTCTGCAACTTATCCTGGTCTTTGAAATAGTATTGAACACTGTTGCCTCTCTTTTTGATTGACTGAATTAAGCAGGAATAAGAAAGAAAGAAACTAAATAGTTATAGAGTGATTACTCTGTGCTGGGCATTGTGACAGGATCTTTCTTATCTTTTAGGAATAAGCATTTTGATTTACGTTGCTTAATACAAGCAGTGAACATGAAAGACTATGTGTGCTTTACTTTTAGATGCTTCCAAAGTAGATATCAAAAATCAGAATTATTTTGCTTGAGAGCCCTGACTGTAGTAGTGGCTGTTCAAATAATTAGTATCCCATTGAGATTTAAGCTGCCTCAAATGATGTTCCTGTGCATGTTCTTCTCAAACTCTGCCATTATCTAGACTTTGTATCCCACTTTCACTAAACAAAAGACAATAGCATACTTACTATTGTGGCACAAATTCATTCTGAAATAAACAACGGCTGTTCTCTTAAACTTGGTGGCAGTATTCCTTCTGGCTCTTCACAAGAACAGATAATGGAGAGATTGTAAAACTTAGTATCCCAGTTAAACAAGTCTTCCAATTGAAGTTTTTAACTGTTGTTGTTTTATTTAAATATTCTTCCCATGAAGATGTAAAGACGTTTTGGAACCAGTTACATTTCCTGATGAATAAGCAGGGACTCAACAGTTGGCAAATGCCACCGCTGATCTGTATGTTGATAGGTGAGACCTTTCCTCTTATATTTTATCTGTTCATGTGCACATAGAACCACTTAGCCACACAAGAAGAAGAGTGTCTTGTTCTGACATAGTTGTTAAAAGCAGCTGCTAGCATGCTACTTTCTGTAATTACTTTGGGAATACAAGGGCTCCCAGGACAGGGTAAGGTGGAATTCCAGTCCTTCTGCAGCCTTGTTTGAGTGGCCTTCATGAGTCCCAGGACCCCAGGGACGTGCGTAAGAATGAGCAGCACCTGGATCTTCATCTCGCTGCCAGCTGCCCTTGCATTTTCTGGCACAGAACTGACTCTGTAGCATCAGTGGTGCCTTATGGGGTGGAGAGGACCTGAGCAGTGTTTGGTGAGAATTACTGATGTTCATAAAGCTTGATTTCCTTGACTTATTCCTGGGTAATGATGTTGGTAATTTCTATTTCTCTGCTTTACAGAAGTCAATCACAAATTCCCTTCTGACACACTGAACCTGATATGTGCTATTTCACATTCACATGTAATATTTGGAGCTTCATATTCCCTCTCTTGGGACAATGAAGTGTTTCTGAAGAGGATTGTCACTGGGATTTTTTTTTTTTTACCTTAATACAAGCACCTGAATGACTTGAAAGAATTTAAAAATCGGGCTTATGGATCATGTAAGTGTACTACTCCATGATCCAAACTGCCTCAGAAATTGTGAGAGGAACCAGTACCTCTCAGGTGATGCAAATGTGGCCGGACCACAGGTCACACTTCAAGTCGCAAGTTGTTAGACCCCAAAGCAGTTTTAGTTATTGGTTTTGAAGATATAAATGTTCTGAAAAATCTTCCATCACTTTGGGTATCCTACTAACAATGTGTCTTGTGGATTTCGCATTCTGGTGACAAATTAAGTCGTGGGCATATATGGCAATTGTATCATCTGTTTTCACTTTAAAACTCTTCTCTGAAGAAGGTACAATTGAGAATGGTCAGCAGATATGTGCAACAGATTTAGCTAAAAACTAAAGATCAACTGTTTTTCTCCTAAATGAATATATAAAAGCTCTTTCTGATCTGCTGCAATGACACATTGCCAGTTGTGTCTGCATCTTTTTACAAGTTATACAATATGTTTCTTTAAAAAGTTAGCAATTTCTCATTGCTACACACAAGATTATGGTGTGTATTCTAATACTTTCTTGCAGTCCATACCTAGGTAACCTATTTGAAAGGAAAGAAGTCACTGACAAATACTTCCTCTAAAAGAAAGTGTAGTTGTTTTAACGATCACTTTATAAAGAAAAAGGCAAATTCTGTAACGTCCCATGTGCGTAGAATCTCCATGGTATGTTTGCAGTATAGAGAATACATTAGAATATTTTTAGATAATGGAAATCCTACTGCTTGTGTGTCTCAGATTTAAAGAAGCATTCTCAATGCTTGACAGTAATAGTAATGACTATGAATATAGAGCAGTAATATGGACTATGAATATAGAGCAGTAATAAGATACATCATTGTACTTCACAGAAATAGAGTAATGAAAATTTGCAGAATATTGCTCTGTTGATTCTTTCCTCAGGTGGCTGTTCTGCTCAGTGAACTCATAGAAGACAATACTTACATATATTTGAGGAGAATGTGATAATGCAGATTTATGACATTTTTCAAAAGAAAGCAAAGTACCACCTGATACTGAACAGCTTTGTTACTACATTTATTAAGAATGTGAAAATCTGGTGTAGAATTTTTTTTAATGAATCATTTCCATTTTAGGGGAGCCTAAGCTTGCAGAGGCAGCCGTACGTTGGTTGCAGAATCAGAAAGCTCTGTGAAGAGAACCCTGAGATTAATCCTGAAGCAGCACACTTGAACTGAAATTTTCCAAGTGCATGTGGGCGTCCGATTGCATCCAGGAAAGATGAGAAAGAAAGCATTTCAAGAACAGTAATTGAAAAAGAGGTTAATCAGCACCCTTATTCTGCAAAAAGCCCAGTAGCCAAGCATCAAGACACTTCTAGACAGTTTTACACTGATAAGCAGGGGCAAGACTTTAGACTCCTTTTATACCATACCTTAGTCTGTTTGGGCTAGTATAACAAAAATACCTTAGACTGGGTGGCTTAAACAACAAACATTTATTTCTCACAGTTCTGTAGACTGAGAAGTCAATGATTAAGGAGCTAACAGGTGTGGTGTCTGATGAGAGCCCACTTCCTGGTTCACTTTCTGCTGTGTCTTCACATGGCTGAAGGGGCCAGAAAGCTCCCTGGGTCTCTTTTATAATAAGGGCACTAATCCCATTCATGGGGGCTCCACTTCCATGACCTACTCACCTCCCAAAGGCCTCACCTCCAAAGACTATTTCATTGGAGGTTTCAACATATGAATTTGTAGGTACACAAATGTTCAGTCCATAACAGCATACTAAGGTGTTTGGGATTTATCTGGAAAGTACTTAGAAGCTACTGAAAGCTTTTAAATAGAGAAAAATAAGATTGTACTGAATGCTGTGGGGGGTTGAATGGGGACTAGACCCCAAAACCCCAATCTAGCCAGTGGAAAGATGAATTAAATTTAGATGAAAACTATTGTGAGATAAAGTGAGAGAGTAGTTAGAGAAAAGCTATGCCTGAGCCTATGAATTTCAGAAATACTGAGATTTCTAATCACTCACTTACGTTAACAGCTATGACCCAAGTTTGCCCAGCCTTTTTGCTTGCTTGACTCTAAAGGTCGTTGTAGTTCCTTGTCATTTCCTTCCAGGCGGCCTGCTGCAACCTCGATGGCACCAGTTTCACATGCAGTGAAACTTGGCCTCATTTTTTCAACTCTGTATTGCCAAAGGTTGTATGTTAACTGACAACAAAATCTATTGCTATGTTGTCTGTTTTGGTAATTGGCAGAAAGCATATAGTTTTAAATTTCTAGTTTAATCACACTTATATCCTTATAGAATATTGGTGAGAACTTTTGGTTTACAAAGAAAAAACTGCACTGGACATAGTAAATCAGGCAGAACTTATCTGCAATTATTGCTCATCCTCTAAAAACATAATTAGGATTAAAATAAATTATCATATATCTTGTTCAATTACAGATTATTCTTAGCTTGACATGTCAGTTCCTTATTGAAACAAAAATGGAAAAAGATCCATAACTGTCCTTCAAAGAATTCCATAAAGAATAACTGAATTATCTCTCTGATGCTCTACTGTTGGATAATTGAGTTTATTTACAGTAATGGCATGGAAATAATCTCCAGAATGAGACATACAGGTTGTAGAATTATTAAATGTGTTAGTCCTGTAATTTTTTTCACAACAAGAATTATGTTTTAGAGTAAATATATTCTTACATTCCCCATGTACACAGAGAGAGAAATCTCATTTCTAACCCCCTCCCACCAGGACTTTGAGACTACTCAGAAGGGTGTAGCACTGAGGTTCTCCTATCCCAGTTTCCAGGGTTTCCGGGATCCTGCGGACCCTGCTGTGTCTCTGTTTGCATAAGCAGGGCAGTGATCAGTAACTGCTAATGGAGGGATTAGGTAGACTGATTCGTCATCAGTAGACTTTCTCTTCTCTCATCTTACAATCTTATTTTTCTTCTTTGCCCACACTAACTTCCAACAGGACATTTAAAATATACTTTCATGTAAATTATTATTTTCAGTATTAAAAATTAAGTACCATGCAGTATCATAGCTCTAGATCTTTATTTGATTTTTAAAAGGCATGCTCAAAACCCAGATTAATTGTTTTGGCCAGAAAACATGGCCAGTCTTTGTATGTTGAACAAAGGGTTCAGGGTGAAGGGGCAAGTGGCCACTAAGCATGGGGTGGAACCCGGGAGCCAAACAGCCATCAGGTGCTCACGGCCCCTTTCTCCAGCAGCCCAGGGAGAGGAGTCCACAGTGGGACAGTGCTTTGGGCAGAGATGGCTCCTGTTTGCTCTTCCTCTTTATTGGACAAGTGTGAGAGGGGCATTGCTTGAGGGAAATGAACACTTAAGGATCAAGCACAGAGTGGCCCAGGCTTACTGGCCAGTGGTCTAGGGAGTGCCAGCACCTGGCTTGGTGCCCTCAGCTCCCATGGCATGTGGAGGTCAGGCTCAGTCCTTCTCCTTGTGGGGTGGATAACCTGTCTCCTCAGCTATCTAGTTTCTAGGCAACAGAAAGCTTCTGGGGTCATGCTCAGGATAATCCCATTCTACATGGATGGATTATGATTTAAGGACTAGTTTTTGTGTGATTTTTTTCAGAATCAGAAACAGAACAATAAAATATCTGTAGTTCAAAGTCTAAATAACTCTTGAGTTGGCCCAGGCATGCCAGTAGCATGATTTCTGTTACTACATCTGGGAAAGTATTGGGGCCACTATGTATTCCCATGAAGATTTGTACATAATGAACCTGCCATCCCTTATGATATGAAATTACTTAATTTTTAGAAGTACTAATACTAATCAAGTATGCCAAATCTCACCAAATCTTTGCCACTTGTTTAATCTAATAAATTAGTGTGCACTCTACAGTTTAGCACAAACACATTGGGAAAATAAACACTATAGGCTTTTGATAATGATATTCTGTATTTCATGTGGTACCCAGTTTCTGTGGAACTTTGTGGAAGGTGTCTCATGGGTCTTTGCCAAATATTGGGCCTTAGATGGAAACACTAAAAAATCTGCCATTACATAACTAAGCCATTACAAATACAGAAGACATTTAAACTTAAATAATTAAATTGTATTTAATCACCTTAAAAATAATATTTTTATTTTAAAACACTAACGCAGGATATACTTGCCAACTATTCTGGGGACTTTTATTTCATCTTGTATTTCTGAACCAGTGTTAAGTTAGATAAGGTTTCTTTATAACAAGCGCACATATGTATATTCATATTCGTTGCTTTTCCATTTGTCATAAATAAATTTGCTAATGTGCCATTCTGTACTCTATTAAAGAAGGCATCAAGCATCCAAAGTTCCTTTTAGGAAGGGGTGGTTAATATTCAGAATGAAAGGAAACTGCCTTAATTTCCTTTTTCTCTATTCCTGAAAGAAAACTGTTCTGTTCATGGACCAGCAATGCATAGATGTCTGAATCTGTCTAGAAACAAGAGAAGAATTGAATTTTGCAGTCCTTGGGAGCAGTTGTTCAGAGCTATTTTTTATATGGTATTTCAATCCTGTGCTCTTAAATTGAAATAATAGTTTGGAATCCATGACACTGAATTGAATGAATGGATTAAATACTGCTGAAGCCATTTTTCTTCTACAAATAATTTTTAGCTCTTTTGTAAATTTCATATGCTTGTGCAACCTCTAGCTTAAAGAGCAAAGCTGTAGATACACTAACATTCACCTTTCAGACAATATCTACCTATCCGTCACCTACCTATCTATATTATTTTGGGTTCACAGTGCTGATCTCACTTTTGGCCAAAAGAATTTGAAAAGAAAAACTTGCAAAATGAATTTCTATTCTGCTTAAATTAAAAATGTCAGTGCTTGCTTTAGCAGCACATATACTAAAATTGGAATGATACAGAGAAGATTTTTAGCATGGGCCCCTGCACAAGGATGCCACGCAAATTTGTGAAGTGTTCCATATTTTTGAGAAGGAAGAATAAAGTAGGCAGGATCTCGCTTCCCAACTTCAAGCTCTACTACAAAGCCACAGTAATCAAGGGAATTTGGTACTGGCACAAGAACAGACCCACAGACCAGTGGAACAGATTAGAGGGTCCAGATATTAACAAACATCTATGGTCAATTAATATACGATAAAGGAGCCATGGACATACAATGGGGAAATGACAGCCTCTTCAACAGCTGGTGTTGGCAAAACTGGACAGCTACATCTAAGAGAATGAAACTGGATCATTGACGAACCCCATACACCAAAGTAAATTTGAAATGGATCAAAGACCTGAATGTAAGTCATGAAACCATAAAACTCTTAGAAAAAAACCTAGGCAAAAGTCTCTTGGACATAAACATGAGCAACTTCTTTATGAACATATCTCAACATTGCAAGGGAAACAAAAGCAAAAATGAACAAATGGGACTATATCAAGCTGAAAAGCTTCTGTACAGCAAAGGACACCTTCAATAGAACAAAAAGGTATCCTACAGTATGGGAGAATATATTCATAAATGACAGATCTGATAAAGGGTTGACATCCAAAATATATAAAGAGCTCACACACCTCAACAAACAAAAAGCAAATAA